CACAAAACGAAAAAACCCGACAGAAAAGGAAAGACAGATGTGTGCCTATGAATAACCTTCCAGCGCCTTGGTTATATCAGCTGTATTTCAGGTGAATCTGTTTTACAATAGACTAGTTTTGCATTTTTAAAGACTTATATAGCGTTTTTAAATGTCTGAGGTGTTTTACTACAAACTGTACACAATATTTGTGACCTAATTTGTACCGAATCGAGCAGTCAAAAGCGTTTCTCCCTTGCCCACGCCACCGGCAATGTCACCCAGCGGGGACGGGGCAGGGCGGCCGCGGCCCTTCCTCGCCTTCCCCCTTTCCCCCGAGGACACGGGGGTCCCTCCGCACCCGCGGAGCCCCCGCACCGATGTGAAGAACAGGCTTATTTGTTGCAGCTTTTTTCTTCCTTTTTCAAGAACTTCCCAACACCGTAAAACGGTCGGGTCACAATCCTGACCTTCCCCCCCGCCCTTCTTCTCCCAAGGAAAAAACAAAAATTATATATATATATATATAAATAATTATTTCTGAGAGATTTACCCGAAATTAAGCATCACAACCAAACCCGTGGCATTTGCTAGTCTTTTTTTCTTTCCGAAGATGAGTTGGGCTTTTTGATCAGCGCCAGACTGAGAGGTCTGTAGTAAAACACCTTTATCCTTCTGCGCTTTGGCTTCGGAAATCGGTTTCTCTGTATTTTGTTTTGATAGTGAAGAGGAATGAGGTGTCTCATGAATTTCGGGGAGAGGGGGGGAGGGAGGGAGGGATTGGGACAGAAAACACCCGCATTTGGTTCACGCTGAGCTTCTTTCCGTGTCACAGGGAGATGCTGGATTTGTGGAAAAGCTTTTATAGGGGAGGGGGGGGAAATATAATCAGCGACAAAACGAACAGGGAGGAAAAAAACAAAAAACAAACCAAAACAACAAAACGAAGAAAAAGTCAGTAAAATGCTAAACGCAGAACCCTTTTTTGGGCACAGGGAGGTGCAGAGCTGTAACCGCCCCCTCTCCTCGCCCCTTGTTGGACACAAGGATGGGGGTGCAGCGCCCACGCACCCACCCACGGGGGGGGGATTGTGTGGGTGGGTGGGTGCTCCCGCACCCCCCGGGGCCGCCGGGCAGGGCCGGGCTCCCCCCGCACCCGGGACCCCCCGCACCCGGGACCCCGTACAGCCCCGCTCCCTCCCCTGCCCTCGAGATGATTTTTTCCTTTCCACATTTATATTTTTCAAGTATTTTTCAGTAAGCGCTAAAAAAAAAAAAAAATTTAAAAAAAAGGAAAAAAAAAAAAAGAAAAAAATGACACTGAGGACCTGCCTATTTCTGCCAACTTTATAACTGTACAGTTTTGTATATTAAACGTTTTTTGGAAGTTATTAATTTAAAGAAAGATCATTTAGTTTATTCATTTAGTAACTGATGTATAATAAACGCTATTTTCATTAAAGGTTGCTTTTTTCAACTATTTTATCCAAAATTGCCTATTGCAGTTGCCAACAATTATTTATTTTCAATAAATTCCGCATTATGTTTAAAAAAAAAAAGAGAGAGATTAAAAAA